AATAAATAATACTGGTTTATTTATATAATTAAAATACGTTGATTTCGAGAACAGATTTCTTCCAATTTTTCTTTTGCTATGACCAAAAGAATATACATTTTTTCCCTTCATTTAAACATTTCTCCAAGTGCTTTTTCAGCCATGCATTTTAAAAAAATCATAACTCAAAATATTAAATTTTAAAATTCTTAGCATTTCAAGAATTTTAACTTCCCCCCCTCAATTTATTTTATTGTTATTGTTGAGAATACGTGTAGCAAAACACACACCAATTCATCAGTTTCTACATGTACAAATTGTTGTTGTTGTGCACCGTTGGTTGAGTCAGAACTAACCTATAGCTGACCCTCCAGTGAATTTTCAGAGGCAATTAGTTGCAAAGGGGAGGATTGCTCATCTTTCTTCAGAGGAGCAGCTGTGGATTCAAACCAAGTGCCTTAGGGATTCCAGTGCACTTCCTACGTGTACAAATTAGTGACATTTAACCCATTCTTTCTCAAGAGAAGGATAAGCAGTCTCCTCTTGTGTGATTAATTGCCTTTAAAAAGCCACTGGAGGGTCGGCCATGGGTCGGTTCTGACTCTATGGTCCACAACAATAGTAACAGCATTACATTCTTTGAGTTGTACAGCCACTCTCACTATTCTTTTTCTGAATTGTTCTACTCGTTAACATAAACTTACTGCCTCTTAAAGTTCCTATCTAACCTTTTGAGTTGCTGTTGCCAGTTTGATCCCGTGACATAGCTCCTATAGAAGACTGTTCAAGGCCGACTTTTTTTTTTTTTTTAGATTTTAATGAAAGTTTACCGAGAACTTGGATTTCCATTCATTCCTTGTTGCACATTTTCCTCCCTGCCCCTCCCCAGTTCACTTTTTTCTTGCAAAAAAGAATTCTTTCATTGTTATGCAGTCCCCACCTGACCCCAAGCCCACTTTATTATGGAGCTCTTATTCAGGACTCTTGTCATGCCAATAATACCTAATCATATATTCCTTTTATACAGCTCTCTCCCTCGCCTGCTTTAATGCTGTGTACGTTATTTACCCCTCTTATCTTAGTTTCTTTCCAACCCCCACGTCAGTCCTGTTTTATAACCGTGGCATTATGCAGTGTTTGTCTTTTTGTGATTGAGATATTTCACTCACCATAATATCCTCCAGGGTCACCCATACTGTATAATATTTCATGAGTTCTTTGTTTTTCAGTGCTGCATAACATTCCTTTGTGTAAAAATACCACAGCTTCTCTATCCATTAATTTGTTGATGGACACTTGAGTTGTTTCCAAAGCAGCAATAAACATGGGTGTGCATAAGGCAAACTTTTTTTTTAACTAGTCAAACTGAACTGTTTGGGTTTAAGATAACTTCAGGGGACATTTTTAATTTAAAGGTTAAAGAGATTCTTAAGGTAATAGTTTCATGGGTCTATTTACCCTGCATGACTCCCTATGCACATCCAAAAACTTCTCCAGTAGGGTAAAAAGGGAAGCCACTGACTGGGAAAAAGTATTTGGTAATAAC